ATTACTACATGTGTGCATGTAATTAGGCCAAATATTTACCTTCCTTTGTGCCGATAAATATCCGCATGAATTATAAACACACTACATTCCTAATATTACAAATAAATTAATTTAGGCAAGAGATGTTACTTTGGTAACATGTTGTTTCAATTAATTTATTTTAGAAAATTAGTAATTTAAAAAAAATTATTTTAATACAAAGATTTGAATTGTAATTGTTAAGAAATAATTCTTTTAATTTTAATTTTTTTTATCAATTCATCACGTGAAAGAAACTAAGGTCAACAAATTTAATCCTCTTACGGCATGTGGACAGTATTTAACGTTTTTGCTGAGAAAACCATTATGGTGTTCCTACCTAGAGAACCCGTTAATATTTGAATCCAATCAGTAATAATTTATGAGTTTAAGTTGTTAATTCAGGATTTTTAACAGTTTAAACTTTTATGGGTTTTAAATTTGATCTAGGGTTTGAAATTCACATCCCAAAATTAAGTAATCCAAAGTATGAATTTCAAACCTAAATTTAATTTTTTTTTTTTTAATCTCAATTCTTTAACATGGAGTTGGCTCTAATACCACTTGTTGAATTTTTCCTGAAAACTTAAAGTTTATAAAACTAGAAAACCTAATTACTTTATTGCCAAAATCCTCCATGTCAAATCAATAAGAAAATTAAATAATGCGGAACATACATTGATCTATTGATTTATATCTTGAAATACTGTTCTTCAATTTAGTTGCTCCAAAACTTCTTCTTAGTTCTTGATTATAATTCTTGATTGTGGGTTTTGGATCTTTCTATTCAATTTGTAATTCTTATGTTTATGGGATGACACAAAAAATGAGAAATTACATATGAATTGGGGACCATAACCCTATATATAGTTTTCATATGTATTTGGTTTATCGTCAAATACAAACTCTAATGGATCATATTTCTACATATATAATTAGGCACACACTTTATTTAGATGCTCAAAGTTGAATTACTTAATTCTTTATTAGATCACTTTAATTTTGGGCTTAACTTTAAGATAGCATTTATACACAGTTAATTACATATGTCGGCCCATCACGGGAAATTAAATAATTTCCCAACAATCTCCCACTTGGGCCACATATGCTACCTTAAGGACTTAACTTTAAGATAACATTTAGAGTCCACTATTAATTACATATATCAGCTCACATGGCAAATTAAATAATTTCCCAACACTTTTTGCACACAAGTTGGTTATTTGTCTAGCTGGGACAGTTTTCGAGTAGTTTTGATGGTGGGAAACACTTGAAATCTTGTCCTAATGACTGGATAAGTCTGCCATACGAATTTATAAATACTCGAAGATGAGACACAGTTGCATAGAGTGGATTGTTGTGATCCATAGCCAATTTTGTGAGTTGTTCTTTTATTGTGCTAATAAAAGCTGGTAATGTTTTCCTGTACATATAATGTGTTCCTTTATCTTTTCTGTCCATTTCATGAAGTGTTGCAATTCTTCATTACATAACGAAATTTGAGTGTCGTTGGTGGCTGGCTAAGTTAGAAACTTAGTCCCATATAGATGAAAATTTACTGTAGAAAAAATTAACCCTATAACAATTGATATCGAAGCACGATTGGAACCGTTTTTTGGTGGAAAATGATGGACAAAAATTTTCGAAATCAAGTTGGAATGCTGCAAGACTTCGTCCCCTGTTGATAAGTTTTAAAATTACATTTAGTTAAGCCATCAGTTTCGCTTTTGTTAATATTATTGTTAACTTGCTTTTTAATTATTTACTTTTTGGATTATATTAGGAGAAAATCCGAGTTCTGATCAAGAAGGATGAAATTTGGATAAAACATGTTGTTTTGGGATCAAATTCCACACTTCAGAAATTGAAGGACTTAAATTGAATTGAAAAGGACATAGGCTGCTCAAGTAAATGGACTCAACGACTAAATTGCATCATTTGAAAGAAATGAGGACTTGAAGAAAAAATCTAATTAATTAGACCTTGAAATTTTGAATTAGGGATAGCAACGGGGCGGGGGACGGGGTGCCCACCGCCCTGCTAAGTAATTCCCCGTCCCGTCCCCGCCCCATTACCCATTTAAGGCGGGGCAGGGACGCGGCCCCATTTATTAACCCCTTTTTTTAAATATAGGTATTTGATTACGACATTTATATAGTACAATAAATATAAAACCCTTAAAAATGAAATAAATTTTAAATCCAAAGTACTTTATCATGTTATATGATTACAATACACATACAAGATTTAATTTGAAGATTACAAGATAGAAGGCAAGCATCACATAATGCAACATTTCATGTTGTAGATCTTCATTCTTCAAGTGCTGCCATAGTTTAGAATGTCTATGTCACGCTCCTTAAAAATTGATGACCGTAAAATTGATTATTAGTTAGACAAATGGTGCATTTAACTATTTGTATACAAGTCCATTTAAAGAACAATCAATTTACCTCATCTTCAATATCAGTATCACTCAACTACATACTAGAACATCCAAAGTACGATGAAGATGGTGAATGTTCTAACAGTAAATAAAACTAGTTAGCAGTAAAGAAATAACAAAAAACACAATTATAAAAATCAAAGGAATTTGTATTTCTTGTACCATGAATGTCAGCCCATAACCAATCTCTAGCACACATCAGAGCCTCCAAAGTATTTGGATGAAGCCTATTTCTGTGTGGACCAACAAATCTACAACTAGTATTGAATGCAGACTCTGATGCCACTGTGGATACTGGAATAGCTAAAATATCTCTTGCAACTTTTTGCAAAGTCTGATATTTTGTTGAATTTGCATTCTACCATACAAATATGTCAAAATCATTAGATTTAGATAATAGAGGCTCGTCCAAAAAAATATCAAGCTTTGACTTCGTACTATCAGTACTAGTATTAGACACAAATAAATCAAATTGCGCCAATCGATCTTTTTTACTTAATGAAGTAGATGCCTCGATCCCACTTGAAAATTGAGTCACGTTCCCATTTGATCCATGTCTGGTTCTGTACTCATTTAGCAACTTGTAACAAAATTTCCTAATATTTTCAATCTCACGATATGAAACTTCATTTCCATAAATCATTGGAAAATAATATTTAACCAACTTCATTTTAAATCTTGGATCCAACACACTAGCTACTGCCAAAATTCCATGAATCTCGCTGCAATATTTTTCAAACTTGCCAATCATACTTGAAGCCATCATTTTGATATCCTCATAAGGCGATTTCATCCAATCGTAAATAGATAACTTTATCTCACAAATATTAGAATAATAAAGATTTGATGTTGGGTACTTAGTCCCATAAAATATTTCAGTCACTTAAAAAAAACATCCAACCTGTCACATATCTCTTTCGCCAATTTCCAATCTTCATCACTAGGCAAACATCTATATCGTGACTCATGTTGCTTTACTCGAGGAAAAATATGCCTATACTGTAAAGCACTAAGAAGCATTAAGTACATAGAGTCCCACCTAGTTTTGCAATCAAGTGCTAACTTTTTGGAACAAAAGATTTTCAATTGACGTGCAAACTTTTAAATTTTTCTACTCTTTTTGGAGTTGCTGTCCAATGTGCAACGCTGTCACGAATTTTCTCAACACTCGAGTTAATGATCTCGAAACCATCTTTAACTATCGAGTTCAATATGTGAGCACAACAACGCATATGGAAAAATTCACCATTTAACAACAGCGAACTACTAGAAAGCTTATCTAAGATAATGTTGATCATGGCATCATTTGTAGTACAATTATCGATAGTCAAAGTAGATAACTTACGATCGATATTCCAATCCAATAAGCAGTCCATCAATGATGTACTCAATGCCTCAGACGTGTGCGGACACGGAACATATATGAACCTATATTAAAATAAAAGCAACATAAATATGACGTAATTTTAAATGGATAATTAAAATAAGCTAATTAATTTATACAAGATCAAAGTACCTCATAATACGACTTTGAAGTTTCCAAGCTTCATCTATAAAATGCGCAGTGATAGCCATGAATCTTTTCTTCTGATTAGAAGTCTACATGTCTGTATTAATTGCAATTTTGCCATTGTTCTTCTCCAATAAATGCAACACTTTCAATTCCTCGTAATCATAAATTTTCAAAATATCAATCTTTATAGTGTTACGAGAAACATTCTTAAACAATGGTTGCAAAGCATTTGTAAATTTTCTAAATCCAATGTGTTCAACCATTGAAAGTCAATACTCATGCAAAATTATCATACTTCCAAGTTTCCTCCGAGCATTGTCTTGATCAAAAGAGTAAGTACCCAATGAAACCTTCCACAAGCTCCCTTTATTGGATTCAATATTGTATGCTTAATGTCTTTTTGATTTCGGCGTGGACATATTTTTATATGATCATGCAAATGTTTTGCCCCATTCTTACTTTTAGCCCCTAATTTTCTATCACAATAGTTACAAAATGCCTTCTCGTTCCCATCAATGACTCTTTTTTTGAAGTGATTCCACACTACCGAAGTTAATTTCCTTCTCTTACCTTGTCCACTACTCTCATCCTCTTTCTCGCACAAGTCTATTAGATCTTGTTGTGTGTTTGCCTGACTAGGTAAGTCTTCCGACGATGGATTTTTACTTGATCGTACTGGAGTACTTCCAATGCTCGGCACCGATGTACAACGATGAGATCCAGACATCTGAAATAAAAAAAGGAAAGTAATTGTGATGGTATCTTAGATCTAGAATGTGTCCAAAATTGATAGACAAAGTTGCAGTATATAAAAATAAACTTTTTGAACGGAAAAAATTGGCTTGAAATATTGTTTCATACACTAAGAAACTGGGTGAAATAAAAGAATTGAGCTGCAGATTTGATTATCAGAGAGAAAAGAAAGAAGCACTTGGAATTCTACATTCAAAGTTGAGGAAATGTTCAATATGCTAGTTAAGTTTGCTCTCACTACAGGTGTCTATCTTTTAGGTAGTCGGTCAAATGTTTGCTAGGAGAATAAAGTGTAAAGATCAGAGGTGGGGAAATGTGGTTCAGCATGGCAAAGTTTTGATTAGTTCTTACTGTCGAGATCAATGCGCTGCACTATGTTCAACCCATGCACCAATAGCCCGGAATTATAGTTCTCAAGGTAGTTTGATAGGATAATATTTTTCAAATTCTTTCTCATCATCATGTGAGAGGTACTTCACAATATTGGATGGAAGGCTGGATATTAGTTGGAGTAGCTGTCGACCAAGGCTTTTTAGTTCTTAAGGTGATGGAAGGAATGCGAGTGAGGATAAAAACACACCTGCCAAAGATCTGACAGATTGTGATAAGGGAAAGATTCCTAAGGAAAACATTACAGAGAGTATTAGGCATTATGATGCACTTACTCGACTAGGGGAGCAAGATGAAAAGGAGTGGCTGAAAAATGAAAAGCATGCCATAGAGAATGAAAAGAAGGAATCCCCTTTTCTAACTAGAAGAGAAAGGTTTAAAAAAGAGTTTCTACGTAGGGTTGTCCCATGGGAGAAATTAATGGTCTCATGGTCTACATTTCCTTATCATATTAAGTAAGTGCTATTGCTGATTTGTTTCCATATTTTTTACGCGATTTAGTAACTTGTTGGGACTCAAAGATATTAATCTCACAGTAAATGATGAAGTACATAAAGAGTTAGAATTTATGATGAAGTGGGATTGCAAGGCAAAATAATGATTTCATGATAATTTCGGGTTTGTCCCTTTTTGGCAAATTGATAGTTTAATTTGATTGGAAATGGGCCAAGGATCACAACTCATGGCTGTTGGCCATGATGTACGTCTGATTTGGGGCAGATTCCGTCGTTTAGGTTCTCGATTAAGCGT